GATACCCTTGTTCTTTCAAGAAACAGCTGGATGAGACCCGGAGATTAACTACTAATTAACAAAAAGACGAGATGGACCCCCTCTCGTTAGTAACCTCTCTTGCATTCTTATATACGATAAGCAAAGCAAGCAAAACGCGTTTCAATGTGGTCTGGTACAACATTCAAAACTAGCTCAGCTTTCAAAGAAACATAATTGAAAAACCAGCATTGGGAGCAATGTTGTGTTTCCGAAGGCAGTAGAGCCCGATTTTAAACAATGTTATCGGGCAGCAGTATATTCAAGCAAGTGGAAAAGTATAAGCCTCCTTTTCAAATATATCCAGCCTGGAAAGGTTAACTGAATTTTGATTCTGGATTAATAAGAAATCAAGCCATCCCTGCGTTCCTTTTAAAAAAAAAAAGCAATTTCCCTTTTAATAATGAAGTTACCCTCTCTTAGATTAAATAAATGTATATATTCATTCAAAGCACTGAAACATCCACCAGTTTGAAGGCAGCACCAAGCCACGATCAATGTATCATAATCTTCCGACAATCCACTCAAAGTGCAGTTAATCTAAGAAGCAAGTGCATCCAGAGTTTCACTTTTACACAGCACTGAATGACTGACAGTCTGCTCACGAAATTAGACTAAAGCTGTCCAGTAAAAAAAAATCCTTACCACTCGTTAATGCCGCGACCTTCCACAATCACCACTGCTTTTTACAGTTAGGGGACAACCGGGCTCCAATAATGGGGCGCCTCTCACAGACCCAGCCAGTGAGCCCTATTTCGCGGCACCAGCAGAATAAGCACCTCCCTGATGGATTAAACCCCTGTGCAGTCTGACGATGGATTACCCTATGTGACATTTTTAAATGCTACAATTAAATATTGATGGAGGACTTCATTAACATCAGCAGAGCAGAACTCATCAGTAAAACCACTGTGCCCTTTGGACTGGTTGTATTTCATGTGGCTCTGTGCTTTCTCTCTGCTGCTGGAGAAGAGACGGATCGATGCTGTTCAAGGGATCTTTTATTCCACGCAGAAAGGGATGTTACCCTATTCCTAGGGTCACCTGTGGCACAACAGGGCCCTGATTTACCTTCGGATTCAGAAATCGGGCAGCTCCTCTATCTCGAGATTCCACCCCTTCTCCAGTCTTCCTAGATGCATCTCCAAATTTCAAATGCATCAGACTTGGATTGAAAATGAATGCCAAACCCATTGCCTAACCAATGTTATTGCCAGTCAGAAGGAGAAAAGGGATGTTCTTGAACATGCATTCATAGAGGAAAAGCTGTGCCTTTTCCCAGAGAAGCACAAACATGACAACAAACAGCTGACATCACCTCACAGGACCCTTAGTCATCCATCAGAAGGAGACAGCAATGTGTCACAGCTCACATTGTGCAATGAAGTACTAAGGGCTCATGGACACATTTCTCCTCCCTCAGTCAAGCCCCCCAACCTCCCAGTGGAGGGGTATCTATAGAAAGTTGGAAGACAAACTCTCCCCCCATCAACAGCAGAAAGAGGATCCCACAGAAATGCAGTCCGCAAAAGTTCCACTTGCCAAGATCTGTGGTTTTGCTCAACAAGAAACTATACTTCCTGCTCCTGTAACACTCCATTCATCACTCTCTCTCTTTAAAAAAATCACGTGAGGTACTTGTGTGAACCGAATACAATGTTTACATAGCGCAGTGGGTAATGCGAAGCTGCCTGCAATAACTTTTTAAAATATTGAAGCAATTTTTTTAACAGGGTTTTAACTTAAACATGGCCCTTTGTCTTAAAGAATCCTAAAGGTTTTTAACACAAAACAACTTCAATATTGTCATAAATACGGCAAGGGCACACGATATATGACAAACAGAACATCAAAAGAATTGATAAGCACTCCAACTGCATTGTAGCACAGGCAAACCAACAACAGTAGCACAAAACGCACGTTTTGTTGGTTGCATTTACGCCCTGTGGAAAGACGAAGGTTTTCAAACACATTACCAACCATTTGTCACATCAAAGCACAGGTTTAGAATTGTTACCGGTGGGAGTACACGCTATTTGTTTAAGGAAAAATGCAATAGTGCATTGAACTCCCACTCCCACATAAAAGCACACGGAAACTGCCTTTCCTCAGAAATAAACAGTTCTCTTAAACGTTCAACATGATGAGCACGTCCCATATTGTTTTTTTAAAGACCGTCTCTTTCCCCCCTTACGAATTACAATCTTAAACCAATACACCACCATGTTGCCCTGGTCACAACTAGTTTAATTTAATACTGAAGTTACAATTATCTCGATCAAACGCTATAAGGGATGAAAACACTAGCGCTGGGAATCAGTTGATTTATAAGAAAAAGAAGTGCCTGCAACACTCTCGAAAAGAGGAACAATACCCCCCCTTTAGGCATTTCATACATTAGACAGAAACTTGTACGATTATCCCAAATACACCTCCTCACAGAACAAACTGCGCGAGCTGGTAGAGACCTGTTTTATGGGCAATGCACCCCTAAACTGGGAGCTTACTGGGATTTGAGATACACAAAATACGCAGAAACTCGTAAATTGTTAGCATTTTTTTCTCGATTTAAATTTACCACATTGTGCCCCATCAGAGCCATCACACTATAAAATGACTCATACTAATGGTATATTCCCTTCACTTTAGGTGCGTGTCATTAAACGATGTTTTAACTCCTCCGTAAAGGACAGTGTATGCGGTTATTGTCCGTTTTCCCACTGTAAATCCATTCAGGCGAGAACAACAGTTAATTTGGACATGAATGTGAATGGAACAGTTATGAATGTGCTGGAGCACGCGTTTTAAAACACCGAGCTACTTCGCTACATGATGCAAATAAACAAGGCGAAATAAACTACACCTACTCATATATACGGTATATATTAGCCAGGTGGTAGGTTGGACGAGAGACCAAAATTTGTTATAGAAGCATTTCGAAGGAATTAAAATGTAGTTAAAAATGCTAGAGAAACGCAAAGTACAAACCGAGAGCGAATCAGGATAGACCGATTTTTCTCAATAGACCGATAAAGTGCCTTATTAGAGTAACGGGTTTTGACGACTGGCCTTAATATCAATGGTAATAAACATGAAGGGGTGAACTGAAGGAAGAAACACAGATTTGTAAAAATATATGAGGAAATGCAACTTCTCTCCGCGTCCATCGGCGTGTCTAACTCCTAAGAAACTGCAGCACTTCAATTATTGTTAAACCATGTTCTGCAGCACGAGGAAACTAATCGATTTAGAAGCCCACATTAAACCCCCAGCACTGGTCAAACCCCAGAGATGACACATTTTCCATGACTTTCACAAACTAGGAAGGCGACAGACAACAACACACGAATCCCCTAGCCGTACGCAGATGCAGAGATTTGTTCTCAGATTAGCGGGACCGTTAGACTGCAAATTTTCCCAGCTCTGCCCTACCTTTACACGGGTGCTTAAAAATAAGATAAATGCAGATTGTATGAACGTCTCCTCACATTTGAAGCGTGCATTAAAACTAAAAATGCCCCCCCTTTTAACTCTCAATACAGTTCACTGATACAATACGAGTCGGCATGCTTGCCACCAGAAAGAAACGGACGTCTTTCCCAAATGTTTCAACGTTACCTTATTAAAAGCAAAAAGGTCCTGTTTGATTTTCTCTCTTTGGGGATCATTCCCCTGTCTCCTGAACCTAAACTTCATCATCCTGAAGCCGGTGGGAAAATTAGTGAGAGCCAAGGGGAGAAAAAAAACCAAATTGTAAATTCCTTCTCAGGTTTGTATCAGTGCAAAACAATGAGATCCCATAGACAAGCTCCCGTTTCTTTGTAGTCTGTTCTCAAAGGCTGCAACTGGATACCGGGGAACTGGATACATTTCCGTCCAGATTGGCAACTGCTACAGCCAATTGGATCGGGGAGTTTATCTACCGGGATCCAATCAGAGAGGAGATGCTAGTGGGCAGGTCCGTAGTGGTTGATTACAGGAGACTGAACCGTGTGAGGATATTGTTCCAGCATCTGGGATTTGTAGTTTCGTCCCCGCTGCTCTCCTCAGTTTGCTTTTACAGTTGCGTTGCTTCACCAATGTGGGTCACGGGAGACCAGCACAGTGCGTACAAGAGAATTGCCACAGCTTTGCTTTTGTAACGAAGCAATAACGATAGCAGGACGACGAGCGTTGCGCTGATGCGGAATGGGTTCCTTCAGTGCTTCGGTCGCGCAGAGGTGTGTGTGGCGACACTGCTCCGACTGTAGAGAAACACGCTATTGCACTCACCGCAGCATCACGGAATAGTGTGATGCGCCACGTTTCTGCAGTGATCGTGAGTCGCAGAGGGAAAACCCCTCTGCGATGGGGAGGGGGTTCCCTCCACGGTGTGTGTGTGTGTGTGCGCGGCTGAGGGATGGGCGAGGAAGAAGTTGAAGCCCCCTTAGACACATAACAGGCTGCGGCGCTCACGCATTCCAACCGCACCTCTGCAAAAGGAGAGGGGTTACCGAGGAAGGCGGTTTTACAGCTGTGCTGTGAGGGAACTGCGGTATTTTGGCATTTACCCCTCGTTTTACAATTAAAATAGCGTTATTAATTTTCTTCTTAAAGGTAGCGCGCTTCTAACACGTGTAACATTTTCTGGGGTTTTCCTTGCTGCGCGCATCGGTGCTTTTTACAACACAGCTGAACCATTGCAACGCGCCACACACACCGAGCAAACTGTTCTTTTTAAAGCTGAAAACATCCAGCTCAAGGCTGTGTTTAATTGGGGGGGGAAAGGGCCCTGTAGCACACGACAGAACACAGTTCTTATAAGTATTAATTACAATTGAACACGGAAGATGAAGACCAGATCTCAGTTGCTGAAAATGCTGAGGTCTGTAGGCGGCGTTCCCCCGAGCAGGTGAGAGCAGCCTGCTGTGCGATTCAGCAGCGACTGGAGAGAGGCGGGGGGGTGTCACACAAGTTAATATTGTGGACACATACAAACCACTGCAGCTCTGCTCCAGACAGGAAGGAGAGCCAGTCAGCACCTTCCTCGGCCTCGTCAATCTCACGCTGCAGGATGAGTCTTTTGGCAGCGAGAAGCGGTTGTTTTCCTGTAATGAGTAACGCTGAGCTGTCAGAAAACACCCCCAGCGCAGTCAGCGCGTAGTACAGGAAGCTGAGCTTAGACGAGCGTGTTAAGGTTTCATTGATATTCTATTGATGTTCAATTTACTATGAACTGGAGGTTTGTGGGATTTTAATAAAGCACCTATACACAGCAGTAATGACACCGACCCAAACCTGCTGTACTGTGTGTGCATGACGGCTTTGCCAAATACCTTTTTATTGTAAATTCAATATAAGCAGGGCATGAATCTTAAACCCCTTTTCTACAAGTTAATCTTGTGCATCTGGGATACTTCACGCGGATTTGTCTTCTGTGAAAACCAATCAACAACGAACGCATTTTCACGTCAAAATCCACGCCTGGTCTGCTGCAATTTCAAAACGCGTCAACCGTCAGAGAGGCAAGAGACTGCGGCGGTATTCTTTATTGATCACGTTAGGCTCGGCTGCGGTTTTTCTTTTGTGCTTTCCGAAAATCTTCGTCACGTCATCACGTTCAGACGTCTTGGCAATGAGAATGTGTGTGTGGTTTTTTTTTTTCATTCCCAAGGCGGGAGGAGAAGATGTGTTAAAGCTGATTTCATTGAATTTACAGCACAGCCCACACCGTAACGTTTCCAAATGTCCAATAGAGGGGTATCTGCAATATATTTTACAAATGAGCGTGAATTTAAAAAATCGCAGAGATACATGCTGAGTAAGTCCCATCATTCACAGCATCCCTCTCCAGTAAAGCCCCGTTTTCATCTGTTTCTGCTCTTCAGGTTGGCAGGTCTGGAGGGGCGGGGTGGAGAGGGACAGTCTGTTTACGCAGAGCGCTGCTCACATGAACTTGACACTAGGCAGGCTTGGATCACAGCCAAGGCCGGGAAACCAGAGGAACTATTCCAGACCCGAGCTATTCGGGGAGTACGCATTCCTATCAATCAGCTGCTCGAAGGCTAATCAGCAGCGTTTCACCCCCCCATCGAAGGTGAAATGCCCGAGAGCTGGAAAAGAAAAAAACTGAAACGAGAAGAAGTGGCAGATCTTCACGGCTGCGGCTGAACCGTGCGCCTGGCGTCCGCTGGCCGGGGCGCAGACTCTCTGATTGCTCGACTTCTGATCGGCGTTTCCCGGGGTCTGGCGATGCTCTTTCTCGCTCACACTCCACGGCTTGACCTGAAGCGGAGACATTAACCAGAACCCGAGAGTACAACAGCCTCTGCAGTCACCCTCCCTCCCAATGTATCTCAAATGCAGTACGTTTTTGTCTGGTCTCATTCCAACACCTCACGACTCTCACGGAAATTCGTGCTGGACTGTGAAGCACACTTCTTCAGCGTGGGGAAAAAATAAATGTGTTTCTTTCAGACCCATGAAATCCCCTCCCTTTTTGCAACTGCAGAATTCGCTTACGACTGGGCTGTTAATACGGGTCCCATTCACCACACCCAGTCCATATAAAAATGTTTAATAAAATGCGAAGCAGAAGAAAGGCTTGTTGGGAGTAAATGCTTAACACGCCTTTCCCGCCCAGTTTCTAAATCTGAGTTTTTTCTCAAGGGTTAATCATTGATAATGGTAAACTACTCAGAACACAACTCCGCCGTCCTGGGAGTTAAGACTTCGTTCCTTAACATTGTTTTAACGTCTGACGCCCCCTTGTGGCAAAAATAATAAATATTTTAAAAAGAAGGCCGATTGCTGTTGGCGCCCTGAGGTTAAAAGTTCCGAGCTCGAGACTTCTGCCCTTAGAAAGTCTTTAATGTAAATAACCACACGATTTAATGTGAAATCGCTTCGAAACAAGATCTTGTATTTTCTTTCAAGATTAACATGGAAATAAAAAAATTCAAAGTTCATTCTCAAAACAGTCGACGGGATAATTTGCTGTATAAATGATCAAGCCTTTATCCTTAAGTCATTAGAAAACCATTTTATTCCGGGTGTTCACTGTGTTCAAGCGGGTATTACAGCATGGGCAGGACGGCATTGAAGTCAGAAACGACGTCAACTGAATTGAGCTAATTCAGTTATGCCCCAGTATAGTGACGGGGACACTATACTGTAAAGAAAAGGCGCCGTCGTTCGGATGAGACGTAAAAACCGAGGTCCTGACTCTCCGTGGTCATTAAAAATCCCAGGGTGTTTCTCGAAAAGAGTAAAGGTGTTAACCCTGGCGCCCTGGCCAAATTTCCCATTGGCCTTTTCCAATCATGGCCTCCTAATAATCCCCATCTATGAACTGGCCTCATCACTCTGTTCTCCTCCCCACTGATAGCCGATGTGTGGGGAGCGTTCTGGCGCACTATGGCTGCCGTCGCATCATCCAGGTGGGGGCTACACACTGGTGGTGTGGAGGGGAGTCCCCATTACCTGTAAAGCGCTTTGAGTGGAGTGTCCAGAAAAACGCTATATAAGTGTAAGGGATTATTTTGTACTGTGTATGTCCCGAGAGATCAGCGCGATTAATTCTAATATATGTGTACATACGACAATAAACTACTCTCTACTGATGTTTCACTGGTGATTCTGAAGACGTTTAAGCAGGCGCCTTGGAGGATTATGAATACTTGGATCACAGCTTTTAAGGGAGGGCTTTTTGAACACATGGGGAAGGCCCTCTTCCTAGTGTGGTTGACCAAAGCTGTTTCTCATCACCTGCACCTACCCTCTGTTCCCTATACTTTCCGAATGTGTCCTCTGGATAACTGTGGATTCCGAGGACATCTGTAGATTTGACAAATACCTTTGAAGATTTTGAACACTTGCATCAGGCCCCCTTGTCGTCTTCTCAAGTCTTTCATCCAAGAGCTGTCCAACACTTGTGCTGGAGGACTGGTGGGTCTACAGGTCTTTTAGGTCCCTTTGAAACAGTAGCATCTGAACAGTGGGAAAGGTGGGTGAAATGGCCTATTAAAGTCAATCACAAGCCAAGGAAGGTCAATTAGATTTCAGCTGGGATGAAAAATGTGCCAACACCTTGGCCCTGCACGAATAGGACTGGTCAGCCGTGTCTCAGCCCGCCAGAGTGACATATTCCTTTGAGCCCGGGAACGGACCGGGTTGCTCTTTCCTGATTGATTCCTGAGCAGTCACGTCACTTTTCTGTGCTTGGACTCAAAATTGAACCCAATACAAACAGTGCCTTGACATCTTGAATCAAAAATTGTCAGCGCCTGAGTTGAACATCTTATCCGAGCCAGTATGTCCTTGGAAGGTGAAGGGATACGCCGAGTGCTTGGACTCCCCCCAACAAAAAGAATAAAAACATGCAAACTCCACACAGAAAATGCCTCCATTCAGAGAAGTCCAGGACTCGAGAGCTGTGAAGACGCAGTGCTGCTAGAATCAGGTGAGTGGCGTCTCTTTAGCTGCTGATACTTGGACAGGTTAATTCGAGACATTTCAAAAATATTTTTCACTTGCATGTACATAGAATATCACTCATCTCACTTCACAATTGCCCTGCTTTTAAATTTATTAATGAGAAGCACTTATCCTACCTTTGATGAGATTATGACCAGATCAATATTATAAGATATGCTGATTTAACAAAACCAAACCAAAATCAAAAGCGTCTTTCTGCTTTAATTCAAACAAAACTTATTACACTTATGAATACAACCCTTATATAAAACTCACTTTGCTTATTGAACTATTTGTAAAGAAAAAGACCAATATTTCCCTGGATTGCTAATCATGTGTGCCTGTTATATTATATCAAAATGCTCTTCAGCAAAAATACATTTTGTTGTAAGATCGCATACTCCACACAGGGAGACAGCTGTACATAAAAGTCCCATACACAATAACTTCTTCGTACATTCTGGTGAAAGCTAAAATTATGATTGCATTTAACCTGTGACTACATACTGTATATTAATCTCCACTGTGGAATTTCTGCATTAAAACAATTCCTAATATAAACAGAATTTACTATTTTTTGTGAGGGAAAATTAATTCACTTTCATAAGGAAATGGATTTTCTACAGAAATCTCACTGTTGATGTCGGCAAATACATTGACAGATCTATATGTCTATGCAATAATAGAAAAATATAACTGAGGTGTAATCATTTTCAAAATAATGCCATTAATGGATTAAGTATTTTTAAAATGGATTTAAACTTAACATCATGCAAATGCACCTGGAATGAAAAAAATAAAATGAATAATTGTCATTTAACAAAAAACAAAAACTATAATAGGGAAATTTGGTAAATCCTTTTTAATGATATAAAAAGCATAATATTATGGTGCATCTCTTTATGCGAAGACAACAGCTGATCAATAGGCATACATAATGCCTTAACATTGTTCAGAAACAATCCAAGAAAAATTCCCTGCTTGTTTCTCTACTCACAACTCCATCAAACTAAAGAAAAAAAAAGAAATAACCTTTAAACAGCAATAAACAGAATTAAAATGTTTTTTTGTACATAAAATATTTTATATAATTCCTTCTTCAGTTCACCTTATCCTTTAAAGAACTGTACATCTTTGTTACAAAGCAAATTACACATTACTCTGAACACAGTTCAAAATCCCTACTTAAAACAAATGAGCAAAGTATATGCTTTTCAAATAAATACAGCAAGTACTTGTTTTCTATTCAAAAGCATCAGATATACTCCTAAGTCAAGGCGAGAGTGGAACTCTTGATTTTGTTAACTCCTTTTCCACAGCAAAACTTTGATTTAAGTTTTTTTTTGTATGGCCTCCCAAACATTCAATTTGTTTCATTTTATAGCAGTTCTCAAACTTCAAAAAGGTTTATCACTGCCGAACAGCAAAAATCAAACACCAAGTCAAGAGCTGAGGTTGGGTTATGGAGAGGTGTAGAAACGTTAGGCTTCCTATGCATCAAATACAATGTTTTGTAAGGGACATCGACATATATACACATATCTCCAATTAGTTTTTATTATATTTTCCAGAGCCATATACTCTCTGTACAACCCCCACCAAAGACATCAGACCTTTACGACCATGTGGACACAAAATGTTATCAAATGTAAAAAAATAAAATGTTAAAAATCAGCAACTTTTTCAATTTTAGCTATAACAAGCACTTCTTGTGCAATCTGAAAAGCACATACTGCATTTTTTAATACTAAACCATAAACGCTGTAATGCAAGCGCTTTAATGAGAAGCAGCCTGTGCAATAGGACAATAAATGGGAAATTCTGAGTTGAATCCTTCTGAATTTTTATTACTAACACAGACATTCCAACAACCAGATGCTGTCACTCTCACACATACGTAGGTCTTTATTAAAAATTTGGTTTAACCAACAAACCAACAAAAATTCTTAGCAAGTTTTTGCATATCTGAGACGGAGAAAAATAACTCTAAAAACAAAAAGCAAGCAACTTCGTAGCAGATGTCATTGTGCATTTTGTTCATTTAAATGGTTTACTAAATGGAAGTTTTAAATACCCAGTAACTATGCTAAATTTATTGATGAGAAACTGACATTTACAATAATCAGGCAACACGTATAAATTAACGTGTAACAAACAAGAGCCCCTTGAACTGTATTTTTTCATAAATTGATTGAAATGTCACTACGTTTTTTGTCTTTTAAAAACATATACTCTCGAAAAGCACTTCCTAATACGTAAACATTTTATTTTTCTACTAAATCATTGAGCACCTAAACGAAAAGGGCATTTAATTGAAACGGTTGCAAAATTAAATGGATAATGACTTCCATCTCCCATCTCATTTAGAACCTCACAACTCCAAAACGATTTGGACAAGGACCTTTGAAAAAGTGAAAGCAGACATGCAGGTACTCCTTGTTATATTATCATACTCATAGATCTGATCAGGGCCACTGATAAGAAGCACCGTCTATGAAACAAACTCACAGCATGTTGTGGACCACAGACTAATGCAGGGAGCTGTCACACAGCTACAGGGACTGAGCTTGCCGAAGAGTTTAATAGTAGCTTCTCAGTTACTGGCCACTGCAATGAAAATAATTTAACGTTTCTTGTGGTACTCAAGTTCTTATTTCTCCCTGCTTAAATTAGAACCAGCAAACAACTTAGTGGCCCACTTTGCAGCTGATATGCAAACCGACTACTTCTAAATCTGCATGCAGACGGATGATTTCAGTACGCCTCGCATTGAAGAGCTAGCTATATCGGGGTCGCAGTCGCATCCTGGCTGGATCTCCTCCCTCAGTGTCGTCTCATTTTAACTTTTCTTGCTGAGCTCGCATGATCGTCAGGCTCATCGCTGCTGCCTGCCGCCTCGTGGGATCTTCTCCAGAAGTTCTCTGAACTAAAACCACTCCTTCGCCTGTGTCTCGGTAATATAACTGAGCGTCTGTTTTCTTCTTTATCCATTTCCAGTATGCGTGGCCTGCAAAAAAAACAAATGGGGAGTTTTACGGACGTCTGCCTGAGTCACGGAACATGGCAGACTCAAGAAAATGCAACCCACAGCCATGGCAGGATAATAGCGTTTTCTTCACTGCAGCACAGAAAGCAAACAGCGAAACAAGGAAGCAATTATCAAGCCCAGAAGGTACATGCTCTGGAGGGTCTATTACAAACTCATATGTGATGTCTGAATTACAAGGGAAATTGATGAAAATACATGCACATAGAGTGTACTATATTTCTGAGGAGGCTGCATTCAAGATTTTTTGCAGACATCAATTGCACTGTCTAAAGGCCAGAGGCACAGAACTCCACAAACTGTTTACTCTGTATAGAGGTGTTTGATGCAATCAGAGGGTGACACAGGGCCTAAGGACTTGCACAGAGAACACAGAAGGGTGTTAACACCTGTGAGCCGCATCGGGGTCTGCCTTCCGATGAGACCGCTTTGGTTTCAGGATCTGCTGCCGCTCAGGAGGGGAAACGGGAAGAATGGCAGGCGTTAATGACTTGGTTTCCAATCGCGGTGCATCAGGCCTTGTTCTGTTAAAAAAAAAAGAGATGTTTATTACAAAGGCTGTCATGTTCCGCTCCAGGTTCTCAACTATGCTAAACAGAAAAAGTAGACAATTATTCTGCCACACATACGGTTATAAATCTTGTTGGTATTAAGCAGGGAGGTTCCTAAGATTTCTGAATATACTTTCTGTGGCAGTTTTTATAAACGTGTCAAAAGAAAGTACATGTGTCAAAAGAAAGTACATGAGATATGTCACAAGTTAAGATATAGGTATATCATGGAAAATCTAAAATTAGTTACAACACCACCAGTGATTCACACTTTTTAAAGGCATAACAACCTGCCTATCTGGCACAGACGCTTCACTTGTCTGCTTTCCGTTCACATGAATACCCTCAAAAACAATTTTCATGGCCCTCTTTTTGAACAGTGATGCACTTAGTGTAACCACATCAGGATTCCCTCATATGTTATACAATTAATTGCTTGGTAGTCTCCTTACTTTCGTAGTATGATGACAGCTCTTCTTTCCTTGATATCCTGAGGTCGAATACAGTGAGTAATTTCATCTGCTGCGTAACCACTGCAAAGAAAGCAGGCATGCATGAGTGGAGGGAATAAACGGAGGTTAAGCACTGTTAGCCTCTCACACAGCCCCTTCTCAGACATGGAAAACATTTCATTTTAGCATACAGACGGTGCCTAGAGACTTAAAACAACTGAAATACAGGGGGTGGACAAAATAACGGAAACACTTAGTAATATATTAATATCAAGGACCTATTAAAGGGTAGGGCCACCCTTTGCCTTCAGAACAGCTTCAGTCCTTCTTGGACTGCTGTCATACAAGTCCTGAACTGTGTGTGGTGGGACACTGCACCATTCTTCAAGAAGAACAGCCTCCAGTTCTTTGAGGGATGAAGGAGGCGGAAATGTACTTTGCACTCTGTGCTCCAGAACTTCCCATAAAGGTTCAATGAAGTTTAGATCTGGTGACTGGGGAGGCTATGGAAGGCATTTGAATTCATACTGGTGTTCATGAAACCACTCTTGAATTTGTTTAGCAGTGTATGGGGGCATTATCATCTTGGAATATGGGAACATCATGAGGGAACAGTATTTGCACCATAGGGTGCACCTGGTCCTGTAAAATGGCCTCATGTTCCTTGGCTGTTATAAGACCATGCAGAGCAATCAGCAGATCTAATGACTCCCACGGGATGGCTGCCTATACCATTACGGATCCCCCACCATGTTTAACAGTTGGCAACACACATTGTGGGTCGAAGGCATCCTTTGACTCCAAACGTAAACCCATCTGGATGTAGGAAATGGGGTAAAAGATGACTCATCAGACCATATTACTTTTTCCATTGCTCAGGAGTCCAGGTTTTGTGCTCCTTACACCAGGTTATGCATCTTTGTGTGTTGGCCTTGGATACAAGCAATTTCCCTGCCATAAATTCCAGATTTATGAAGCTCATGATGTACAGTTTTTGTTGAGACTGGGTCACAGAGGTGCCGATTCAATTCTGTGGTAATTTTTGAGGCTGTACTTTTATGACATTTAGCAACTATCCTGTGAAGTGTCCGTCTATCCCTGTCGGTGCGCTTCGACTTGCAACCACTGTTTCACTTTGCTGATGCAGTTTGTCCATGTTTGGCATATGCTGTCATTATTTCTGAGACTGTCCCACTTAACACATTCAATTAATTTGCAGTTTTTGTGACCGATGCACCTGCAAGTTGGGTACCGACTATATGGCCTCTTCAGGACCCTGTTAGTTGCCTCAGGTTGCTTTGAAAACTCACATATCAAAGTGCTAATTGTCAGACCTCCTTTAGAGCTGACACATGCTGCTAATTGGCAATCAAACTGATATGACTCACCTTTGCAGCTGCATTTGTAATTGTGATTTAGTTACTTCAAAGTTAAACCCCCTTTTCATGTGGTGTTTCCATTATTTTGTCCACCCCCTCTATGTTAAATGCTTGGAGGAGTGAAGCTCTCCCATGCCTGAATTTCAATCTTATCACTTAGAAATTCAAACTCAGGTTTCGAATCTCATTACTAGTATAGGAATCTTGAAAGGCAATATCGTGAAACACTGATGTTTAAAAGACAATAAACAAGTATTTTATTAACAAGTACTCCTTTAAGTGTGGCACAATGCTGGGAGTCACTGCTTAGAGCTGTGAGAAATCACGGTTTTGAATGTGGGCTACAATACGTCACTAGAAATTCTCCCGGGGGCTGCACTCAAACAACCGGGTTTTGACAGGCCAGGTTATCTCCAGCGGGCACTGGAAACAAGACAGCTAGGGCTTGCAGCGCTATGGAGGTGGGCAGCGCCTGTCCTCCTGCCAGAGCTCGGCTCTGCCACCGACGCTGCAAGGCACGCCTTTCGGAAAGGAAGCAGATGGCTCGACAGCACATGTTCCCGGGGACATGTAGGTCTTCCCCATTTCACCCACATAGGTATGAAGGTCACAGTCATAAGCTGAGCTGATTAATAACTGGCGATTCCTCTTGTTAATCAGAAAAAAAAAACATGAAAATGCCAGTGCAGCAGTAGAACAAATTCCTTTGTGGCCTCGCTGACTTCAGTGAACAAAGTTAAACTGCAGATGAAAATGTGCACAATCTGATTCATCATTACATTCTTCACCTCCGAGCAGCAGCTCATAAACCCGGCTGCGTTTTCAGAAGACATGATTCGTTCTCTATAAAAGAAAAGCTCTAATAGGCATCAAGACTCACTAATGTTTTCAGTTAAACGATAGTCTTTGAAAGTTTGAGACTAACCGGGATTACAGGACTCGCTACTTTCATTGTACACTGCTTAAATCCATCAATCTGTACTTCACACAACCGTCCAGGATAAAACAAGTCGTGTATTTTTGTTGAACTCATGGGTTGATTTGGAATACACATCACTGTGTATACACATCACAACGCATACAGAAGCTTCAGCAAAAAAATCTGATCAGGATTAAGGAGAAAGTCTTAACCCAAGTATTAGGGAGGCAGAAAAAAAATGTACTTAACTATATTAAAATACTAACCAAAAGGAAAGTTTAGAACTCCGTGATTTACAGAATTAAATAGGAGATTCTGTATACTATGAAGAGACCATGCTTTGTAAAATATTGGCATGATGGTATGGAGTAATGCTTAGGGCTCTGAACATATAACTGGAGAGTTGTGGAGTCAAATTCATGGGGGAGGGGCACAGCCATTGCACCACTGAGAAAAGTACTTCTCTCATTTTGTTCCAATATAAATGCATACAAATGTTATCACTTTGGATAAAAGCATCAGCCAAATAAATATTGAACTGACTGCTAAATTTTTTCTGAAAGAATGGGAGGTGGATGCTATAGTTCAAGATGAAATGTCTTAAACCTGTAATGACAATACAAATAGTAGGAAGTGTGGCTGGATAATGAGATTATTGGTTCCCAAACCTAGTCCTGGGAGAGCACTGTGACTTTTAGTTTTTCCTACAGCCAAGTTCTTATTCGCAGCCTCATTGATTTTAGTTTTCTATGGGGAGCAGATTTGTAAACGTATTTTCAGCTCTGAAAAACTCCAATTAGATTTGCAATTGGTATGAAGCCTGACCAATTTCTGAGTTTCAGAACTGCCCTCATTCAGGTACACTGTGTGAAATGTAACCAATTGAGCCTCTGTAAAGGGGGAAAAAAGCACACTTTGGGGAGTGTTTGATACACTGTCATTTCCACCTGTCTCAATTCATCATCAACCATCACCTCTTAAGCACTCTTGACAGAATTAAGTGTGAGCAAGTTGAAGACACACTTCATAAAGTTCCGTATTTTGAATACAGCAGCTTTAAAGTAAGATTTGTTTTTAGCCTAAGGACTGTGTGCAGAGAAACATGTTAGGAAGTCTAAACAAGCAAGCAGATCATGTGATCATTTAAAAGTACAGATACAGAGCTCTGTGACACAGTGCCCCCCACCTCCAGAGCCAGGGTGAGAAAGCATTGCTCTTTAGCCCAGCTTACTTAAAAACATACCTTAAAAACTAAATACACATCTGGTATAAAGAAAAAGGTACAAGTAATAGGTTTATTCCATGCTGAAAAGAGAAGAAAGAAAACACAATGTTTTGGCTGTGGAGCTTTCTTCGGGTGTAAGGCTCCACAGCTGAAATAGTGTTTTCTTTCAGCATGGAATAAACCTATTGTTCCTTTGCAGCCTACGCATGCTGACACAGCTACCCACCTGAACTAAAGAAAAAGGTGCTTCTTTGTAAAACTTACAGGTTGTGGACAGAAAAAAATGGAAACACTTACAGAAAGTCAACCCTCTGTGCCTGTGTGGGGTGTATATGCTGTAGCATACAGCTTAGAATCGCCTGAAATTCTGCAGGAGGTGGCACCATTCTTCCATGACAAAGTCAATAAACTCACGCCTGGCTGAATGGGAGGTGGAAAACGCTGTGTCATGCATCGTTCCGAATATTCTGAATACCCAAGAAATGCCTGAGTGTGGCCAGATCTGGTGACTGAGAAGGCCAGGACCTGTGAGAACGTCAGTGCCACTGGGACACCTCACGTGCTCTGCAAATGGGGGCTTTGTCTCCCCCAAAAGACACCCCAGCCGGCAGGAAAGAAATGCTGCAACACGGGGTGAAGATCATCACTCAGCACCATTAAGTAGAGACTAGCACAGACTTTGGTTTCTAACGGAATGAGTGCATGCAATCCAGGCCAGGACAATGTGTCCAGCAACATTACAGAACTGCCAGTACCCTTCACTGCTGAACCACACAACTCAGGGCTGCAGAGCTGCTTAGGAGGCACCGCACGTAAACTTGTCTGTTTGTCCAGAGCATGGTGAAGGATGATTCACCTGACCTTATCACAGTTCTCCCCCGCTCAATAGTCCACTGCCTGTGCTCTTTGCACCACTGGACTCGCAGAGGTGAAGTGCCAGGTGTGATGAGCAGTCTGTGCACTGCAGCCAGACCCGGGTTCCTCGCTCTTGGCAGACTGGTTTAGACAAACCTGACCGCTTGCTCCGCAGGTTGAACTTTTCAGCCAACAGATCAGCAGCGGCTGGTCTGTTTTGCCTTGCAAGTCGACTTCGTTCCTGGACATCACGATCCAGGAGAATGCCCTTTCTCCCGCTGATGATGTCAGCATGAAAATCTGAGGGAAAGCAATCCCTGCTCCTCACTGTGACTGCTCCTGTAGCTATGTTAGCCATAATCATAGACAACCGGGACTGTCCATCGTTTTTAAACATTGCAGCCAGGATGGGGTTATGTGATTTGCTTAATTAATGCTTGGCTCCTGTGTGGAAACCCTTGCTTTGCCCCTCAGTTACCCAGATGTTCCCATTTTCTGTCCACTACCTGCACGTGTGAAAAAAACTCATCTCCTAATTACACAGAAAGAGGGCATTCTATTCAAAACACGAAACCACCTCGAAAGGCAGATCTACACCCATACAGCATTCAATAATCATATAAACTCATCCTGATCAAGCAAATCGGCCCACAACGTAGGACAGCTACAGTGAAAGGCGCTGAGAGCATACCTGAGGACAGTGACGCTTCCTCGCCTCACCGGCAGGAACAGCACCGGCTCCGACACACGGATGGGCTTGAACTGAAACTTGCAGCCGAAGCACAGCGCCGAGTCGCTGAAGAACGACACCGACACGATGGGCCTCTCGAAGATGTGGATCGGGTCGACGTGGGAGACGATGCAGCCTCCGGGCTGGTAGTCGTTGATGACGGCGCTGTTGACGAAGCCGTCGGGTATGACCCGGTTGGCCACCAGCTTCTTTATAACCAGTTCGTGGACCCAGCTGGGGATCTCGTCCACCTCCCCCTTGGAGTACAGCCGCTCCTGCCCCGGGCCCCTCCTCTCCAGCTGGGAGCCGTAGGTGTAGCCCTCCCCGAAGAAATACTTGTTGCGCAGGGGCGCCCGGTCCACCGTGTGCTCCCGGTACAGACCCTTCTCTCCCTTGGACACGACCTCGTCGATCTTGGCCTCGATGCGGGAGCACTCCTCCGAGCTGAAGATGCTCACTTGCCGGATGCCCGTCTTCACCTTCTGAGCCTCCACCTCTCGCTGGTCCTCGTAGTCGCTGTAGTCCTCCTCCGAGTCGTGGTACTTGCGCTTTCGCCCATTGCTGTGATCCGCAACTCGGTTCCCGTAATTGTCCCTGTGGGGAGTCATGGACTTGAGCTTCTCCCGCAGGTCGGTGTACCCACTTGCCATTTTTTAGACTAAACGGGGCGCTCATAAAAACGGCATTTAGCCCCCATATTTCACAGACCTCTGCGAGGACCTAATCGGGATACCGTGACGCGCCACCTGGGCTTCCCTGCGGTGTCCTACAGCCAAGATCTGTCGTTTTGTGCCCTGTGGTCGATATCCCCTCAAGTCAGTGCTCTCCCTAGGACTGCAAACACAGAGAACAACTCAGTCGGGAGAATCGCGCACTTGAACTGTCACTCTGAATTAGTTCAATTTTTAACGACACGACACCCTCAGTAAGAGAGCCTTCTCAACGAGACGTATTTTGATCTAGGTAGTCGAGAGCAAAAACGGAAACCTGCGAATCGTAGATTTTACTTGTTTCCCCCCCAGAAGAACACCGGGGAAAACGTCAATAAAATGTAACAAGTCCAATTGCTCTTTTCGCAAACTACATTGACGTCCTAATCTTGACTGCTGTTGCGTGCCGGAGGTCTCGACTGTTATCGCCCCGTAGACACAGTGACCGATCCAGAGAGGTCAGATGTTTTAGGAGAACCAGCTATTTCTCTTTTTTTTTTCACAATATCCTCTTCTTACTCGTCAACGCTTTACATAAAAACAAGGCGAAAAAAAATAAACGTGTAACCCAGTCGGGCTCAGCGCGCATGCTCCCCATTCCGCGCGTGCTCACAGAAACCAATCTACGCTTTTTTGCTCATCCATAGCAACCGCTAAAACGAGTCCTCAAACACCTGAACAAAACCTCCCCATTCCACTCCGAGTCAGGGGGATACCGGCTGTCTTCAGTCACAGGCTATATATTTTTGCGGCTGATTTACAACGCTACCACCTTCCCTCAGACATCCATCCCTTCCTCTCAGTTCACTGGCTTTCCTCAGCCGAGACTCCAGTATCCTCGAGACATCACAGACAAACCCATCACCCCCCACCTCCCACCCCTTGCGTTACTGCGATTGGCTTATTTTACACAGCCCCGCGCGTGCCGAACCATTCTACACACGCCTATTGGCTAATAAAAATGCCACTCAAATAGTATGCTAATTATTTCAATCCATCAAGTGTGGTGGACTAAGAAATTCTTGGGGTCTTGAGCGGTTGAGCTGCCTCACTAGGCGCCTATCCTCAAATGTTTCTTCGGAAATTATTATTTTAGTCCCCCCCAAAACCATTAGTTTCTGTATCGTATAACATCACCGGGACTTCCTTGTCACATGCTATGAGGCGATAGAATAAAAGTGACTAAACGGTCAGGAGAGCTCCCGATAAAGATCGGTGGTGGACGGTATTGCTGCGGTTTCGTTGGGCAGCCGTTGGGCAGCCCTGGCTGTGAGGAAAATACGTGACCGGAGCAGCGTTTCTCAGGGCCGACAGGAGAGCCTCATTGCCATGCGTGTACGCTGGCTAAATAAACCGTTTTATTTTAGAAAACTGGGTCTGTTCATTTTTACAGTGCTGCTGCGAAGTGGAAACTGCAATTTATAGAACGCGGCTAGCTATCATTTTTTTCCCACGAACATGCAGTCGAGTATGCTTTTATTCCTTGGGACAGATAAATGCTATTAATCTGCATTGCACTTTTTCTATTTAGTTGATTAAAAATAAAAGGTGGATAGATTATATGACGTAGCGAAAGAAAATGTTTTTGCTTTCATTTGTCAGAAATAAGCCGATGTAGCACAGGGAGCGTATGCGACCTGTTCGGTAAAGGGACAAACACTGATACTGTAAGGTTTCTGGAGCGGCGGACAAAAGTGATTTTCCTTGGGACTTTCCAAATTTTTCATTTTCCTATTACTACATGCCATGTTTAAAGTGCTCCAGTTCTAGTAAATCAATCCCCTTGTGGTTAAAGCCTACTGGGGATAGAGGTAAGAGACCCTTACCCTATAGGAGTGGAAATCCTTCCTATAATCCCACACAAATTCGCTATTTGAATTAGTCCCAATCGGCGCTTTTTCCAGTGTCCACCGACAAATGTTGGCTGGAACCCATTCAATTCCTAAAGCGATAGTTTTTTTTGGTAGATGTGCAACAATAAAAATCGGTATTTTACTATGATTCATTTTTATTACAATTTTTATCCACCAGTTTTCAATCATCTTTAGTCTTAACACTGAGTAAAAGCCTGACAGGAAATGGAAGAAACTAGGAGTCTAAAGTTAATTTCTAGAGCGAAATGTAGAGGTGTCTCTTGTACTGTGTGCTTAAAAATGGAGTGTGAATGTAAATATAGTATAATTATATGGGATGTAAAACGTGAAGCAATGCTTTTCTGAATTACATATTCACAGATCATTGGTTTTAGGTGAATTATGTTATGTGTGTTTGCATCCTAATTAATCATTCACTCACTGTTGTGCCGATACCAGCCCTGTCTTTGAGATGTGACCTTGTCTTTCTGTTGTTCAGGCCTTCGTGTTCAACTCTTCACATTAAACAAGTTTTAAAGGTCTTCAGCAGTCATTTTATTTCTCTGACAGTGGGTTCTAAATAAATAAATTACGTTCCAAAGAGCTCTGCAGGTGTACTTGTCGGATAGAAAATAGATGAGTCCAGTTAAAATGAGCAGAAGAGTGTACTGTAGGACATCGGTTGCTTTTCTAGTTTTCACCTGAGAAAGTGAACCTGCGGAGTTCCTAAGGGTGATGTGATCTGTGTAGCCCAGACACTGAGTGACTACACACAGCTGGCTGTATATTTCTGTCCCTCTCTGCTTTTAGACACGAAATCAGCTGAGTCATGGCCGCTGGCTGCTGGCACCTACAGCATGTGCCCCATTTAAAACCATTTGCCTCCTGTAGGCATTAAGTCAAACAGCAAATGGCATTACATAGATCTGCACTACATATGACATTGCACGGCTTCTACTCAGGACATGGAAGCAGCAGTAACATGGTATAACTTACAAGGCTGATTAAGTCATTTTTAAGTTACGAACATTCTTAATTTGGGGGAATTATGCAGATTATGTTTTGAGTGATTATAGATTGTTTTTTGGTGACGGTAACTGCATATTTCGGACCATGAGGGCACTTGTCCCTAGTTGTCCAATTTATTATACTGAAAATTGTTTCAAAAAACCAAAATGTGCAACCATTGCTTGTCAAGGATAATAAGACAAGCATTATCCTTGACAATCCTTGATAAATAAACTTTGATTCGATTTGATTTGATTTGATTTTTCAAGGATGTCGAGAGCAGGCTAAACAGGCTCATTTGGAAGGCAGCTCCGTAGGATCTTTCATAAAATCAGTGGATGCTGTCTTCACATAATAAGATACCAAAAATCAGAAGGCAACTTTAATCCTCATTTGCTACCATTCTTATGTTTCTCAGTGGTTTTCTTGTTAGGTGAAAACTTATTTCGAATAAAAAATATGTTTTTTATAGAATATATTTTCTTTTATCTTAGGATTTTCATAAATATATATATAGGCCAAACAGTTTTTAGCTCCAAAGTGGACTTCCTCCATGCTGATAACTGCTGGGAAATGCTGACATTATAAATAGCGCCAGCGTCATTTTTCCTCCATCAGAAGGTTGTGTGCAGACGCCTGCAGACATGACGTTCAGGGCCCTACACAGTTTCTGAGCTCCAGATTTTCAGCCAAACAGAGGGGCGAGGACATGGCAGAGCCGACTAGCTGGGAGGGACTGAAAAACAAGTGAAGCAATAGATTTCAGATTCCACATCAAATATTTGGTAACATGGCAACTAGTGTAAAAAAAGGGAGAGAAAGTGATGGGTGGGAATACGTACACGGGAGTACAGGAAACACCAATTCCAAATGTTAGGCATTTGCATAGGGTTTGCAAAAGAGAAGTTAAGCAACCTTCATAGTTCTTGAGGGTAAAAAGGTCACAAAGTCACATTCAGCTACCAAGAAGACTCGCGCCACCTTGTAACAAGGTGAAAGAGAATTGTTAAGCCCTCTTCTAGAAAGCAAAAGGTCCCCAAAGGAACAAGTGTTCCTTCATAATGTTCTTTACTGAAATCAAACGAAGAACAAGTCAGGAAAGAAGTTCAAGTCTGAGAAGCCGATCTGTGTTTTCAGTCTTCAGATACATAAACCCCAGATTAGACTTCCATTCAAAAAGAACATTAAGTGTAATTTTATCCCACAATGAAAACATTTTAAGTAAAAAGGCTAGATTTCAGAAACAGATCTGTAGAAACGTTTAATGTTTTTACAAAAATATTGCTTCAAATTATTTCTTATGAGATGAGGGCAGAGTGTTCACAGAGAAAGGCGTCAATATTGCAGTGAAGTACAAATGTTTGTTTGTTTTTCAGGCAGCATGAACAATCAGAATAGAGCGCGTTAGACACCAGTTGACTTAAAACAAGACACCTATTGCACTGTCACTTTGAAAATATAAATTTATAGTACAAAAATCTGTAAGGCAAGTGGACGTACAAAAAGATAACGCAGAAAGAAAACGAATAAATATGAAAGAAGGAATTTCTTCTTTCAGAACATTTAAGTTAAAATCTAGAGAGGTATGCAGTATACATTTGGATTACGTTAGGGTGGGTTATGCATTTGTGAAGAAACATTCAGTAAAAATAAATGATAGTAGTTCAGGTGGGTAGCTGCGTCAGCATGCGTAGGCTGCAAAGGAACAAGTAATAGGTTTATTCCATGCTGAAAAAAAGAAGAACTCACACCTGAAGAAGGCTCCACGGCCGAAACGTTGTGTTCTCTTTCTTCTTTTTTTCAGCATGGAATAAACCTATTACTTGTTCCTTTGCAGTAAAAATAAATGATTACTCAGATAAATAGTGAAATTAATAGATAACTTGTTTTAAACACTTAAAAGCAGTTTAAGAAAACAGAGGTAGCTGAAATCCAGCATTTTTGTCTGATGATGCATGATGTAAAACCCATGTGCATTCTAAATCAGGAAGGGGGTTGCTGGGTCAGAGGAGAGTGATTTCGCTGGGGGGCAGAGTCAGCCGTTTCTCCCGGGCCGACAGGAGATTCTCCATGTGCATGGCAATGACGCGACACAACTCCAGTCCCTGCAGGAAACACACACACAAGGAAACTGGAATGACACGAGGACCAAACCAGAGCTGCTTCTGTGCATGGTTAAACCTGGTCTTATAGTTCTCACAAACCTACATACAATGCTGCCCCCTGCTGGCCGAAATAGAATACGTCTCTGCAGTTGCCGATTTAAATGCTTGGCTGACATTTGTCTTGAAATACATCGTCTACAATTATGTGCTATGTCCTGTTGGATAGGGCTTGGCTATCTTTCCAGTGTAATTTTATCATTCTGATAAAATAACAGTTCCAGTTATTAATCATGCATACTGTATACTGTACAAGAAAATACAAAGTTCTCTTAAATGCATAAAATAAAGACAATCCTTTTAAGAGCCGATTGTGTGATATTATGTATTCCAGAAACTGTCTGGTACTTTGCTCACAAGCACTTAATGATTCATGATCATGATTCCACTACCTAGAAAACAACAATTATTGTATTTTGGGGAACTAAAAAGTAACAATATCTGCAAAGAGTGCCTCATTACAGTTGAGCATGAAAAATAGTAAGGATTTCATTAATCGAGGTGAGATTTCAGGTGCAGATGTCTCTGAAAAGCATAAGAAAGGCGGTAGAAAAAAGTGAGTGAATGCATTTGAACTGAGAAATGAACAACTGCACATACTGTATAAATACAGGTTTTGCCTCCCGTGGGCAACAGAATAGAAATCAACCAAGGAAAGAAGAAATTAGGACAGAACACAGTGCAAAACATTCAGTTCTTAATTTATGGTGTTGTTAAAGAGAAATACAGGAGGAGGTCAAATTCTAATCTCGCACCTATGCTGTCTTACATATAAACAAACAACTATGCTCTTTCTTAGCCTCCCTCCACCCCATCTTCACCCTTGCAGCTGCCTCCCTGGTTCATTCCACGTAAGTGAGGATTGTCACAGCTTTCATTCCTTAGCCAGGTGAGTTAATGCCAAAGTATTCAATATACTATCCCTTTATATTTGTCAACTTGTTTCAAAGAATTTGACCCAAAAAAATTGAAACAGTATTCTTGAAGATATTAGACACAGTCCATGAATATAAAAATAATCCTGAATCTTCTGAATTAAGCATTTACGAGACCTGGAAATGCTGGATTGGAGTGGCATTGGTTTCCTTGCACGAGTCTAATCCCCTGCAGATGAGTGGCTGGAAGAGACGCTGGGATGCAGAAACACGAACAACTGCCCAACTGCGTAGAGAAACCACCTGCCCGTACCTGCTCAAGCTGCAGCTGGGTGATGCGCTGCGACATCAGATCTCCCAGCATGATCTCCACATAGGGGAAGCTGGAGCCGGATGTGGGCCTCTGTGTACGAGTGGACTGCACTTCCTTCAGGGGGAACTTCATCAGCAGCTCCTGAAAATAATGGGGGATGGGGGAAATGGAGAGAAGCCATATTCGTGTATTAATCCTACTCCGTTGGGCCCCTGAGCAAGGCCCTTAACCCCAGCTTCTCCAGGGGCGCTGGATAAATGGCTGACCCTGCGCTCTGACCCCCTGCTTCTCTCCCTGTCTGTGTGTCTCACGAAGAGCAGGCTGGGGTATGCGAAAAGACACATTCCTAATGCAAGAAATTGTATATGGCTAATAAAGTGATCTTATCTTATCGTGTGTCTCCCAACAGAAATGTGCCTCCAAACTTCAAGAGGAAAAAATATGGGCTGTAATATGGGCTAAAAGACAAAAGACAGTTCTTGGAATCTATTCCATTTGTGTAATGCATGACTCTCACTATGTACATGTTGTTCATTATATTTCAGATTGTCTGATGCACATAAAATGGGTGCAGAATTGTACACGATGGATGTGTTAACACCTGCATGCACAGGCACCACCTCCACTGGCTAGACATACAGCCCTCCGAACAACAAAATTAAAAATTGTGACGGCATACATGAGTGTCCTTGTTGATGAAGTTGAGCCCATTCTGGTTGACGGCCAGGATGCAGGGAGCGACGATGGAGCTGTTGCTGCTGCTCTGGATGTAGAAGAAGGTGGAGCCAAACATCGGGAAGGCGCTCACCAGCCCTGGGGGGAACAAGTAAAACGCCACCACGTCACCTCCGTACGCACAGAAACAAAGACAAGCAGTCACGTACAGCCACAGCGGAAAAGACAGGTCTGTGGGAAAGCTGCCTAGGAGGTAGGAGTCCATTTAAACCTCCGCAGTGAGATTAAACTCACCCCCCACACAGAAGTGAGATAGACATGTGAGAATGCAGCTTCCCCAACAGTGACAGATACATTCACATTATAGAAACCATGGACAGCAACTAGAATACTTGAACAAATCTCCCTGGTCCTTAAGGGTAGGATGACTCCAGGGCACACAGGTATAGATCACCTGCTGCTTCCAGGCTTTGATGTGAACCGGAACGTGTTGCCTAATTGTGCAATCCTGCTCCATGACTCCGGTCTTACCAAGGAACTGCGCCCTGGCCTGGTGGGGGCTCAAGGCCTGGACCTGCTGCATGTGCTGGGTCACCATGTTGAGCCAGGGCTGCGGCCGCTGCTGCCCATACAGCTGAGCTGGGACGTAGTCCTGGACCTCCCGGCTGACAGGTGCAGGGACACAGACAAGAGGACAGAGGGGAAACACTGAGGTTACTGCAGGCTGATAGAGGCTGTGCCGGGCCTGCAATGGAAAGGGCAGAGTTTCCAAAGGAAGACAGAAGCGAGATCTCTCTGGGTCGATAGCGATACAGAGCACAGACCTGGGGTGTCTCAATGGTCCTCAACCCTTTAAGCACGTGTTTATCAGCTTTTATTTTCTTACACATCCCTGTTACTCAAGCCATGGAGAACCTATAGAATTAGTCCATGTTTCCATGAATTCATTGACCTGCATGGTCCGGAAACCTCTATCCTCAGCTGTAGGCCTGTACTGCAGTGGTTAGTCAAGTGGGTGGAGGCTGCTAGGTGCCCTGTAGACCTACACAGTGGGCAGGTAGATGCTGTCCTTGGCACGGTGCTGCAGGGCCGCCAGCTTGGACACCTGTTGCAGCTGCTGCTCGCTGACTTTCCCCTGAGGCACAACATTGAGCAAAGCCTTCAGATAGTCTGGGAGGACCTGAGAGAAGAATGAACACCAAAGTCAAACACACTGAACCTGAAAGAAACTGGAATACACCTCCCTAAGGTTGTCTCTAATCTCCTAACGTATTCTACAATTTATCACAGACTTCATGCAGATATTACTTAAGTCGTAAATATAAAACCTTTTTTCTTACAGCTGCTTCTTGAAAACTGTTCGTTAAAACAAAACAAAACAAGTTTTCAAGAAGCAGTCGTAGCCACACAAAGTTTTGTACCTTCTTAAAATAATGAACAACTGCGGTTTAGTTTCCTATAAGTGGATCTCGCAGGCATTTTTTTGGGCAATCACACAAAAAATGTTCTTACAAGACGCCGGCTTTCTGCGGCCTAGCCTGCCTGCACTGTACCTGGTTGTAGTGCATGGTGACGCAGAGCTCATTGTCAAATTTCAGCGGCTGGCACCAGATCACCCTCCTGAACCAGAAGGTGTAGTTGCTGTCAATCTGCTCCGCCTCTGTGGCGATATCCAAGATGTACTCCTTCTTGTTCAGCGGACGGACGTTCTGGCCTGAGAAGAGCACAGATCAGCTGTAGACAAGCAGCCAGTGTGCAGCGTATCGCCAGTAAAATCAGATCTTTGTATAATCTGTACGGCATATTACAGTACCTACCTGCCTTAGTGGGCAATACAATCGTAATGAATGGCATAACACTGCTTTTTCAGACGTCAAATATTTTAATATGAATATTTGATTTAATTGGCAAGCAAAAAAAAACAACGGCGATCAAAAATAAGAACAAAGCAACCCCTCACACCCTCTTCTCCCACCCCTTTTTACAACGGCAACCCACTCTTAAAAAGCAGAAGGAAAAAACACAAAAGTCCCATGACTATAACAATGATAAGAATATTGAAATCTATGTCGAGAAAACAGAAAAGCTCATTCACGCCATGGGAGAGCACCACAGGTCAGCCAGTTGTGTTAGCAGACACAGTACAGTACAGGAACAAGTAATAGGTTTATTCCATGCTGAAAAGAGAAGAAAGATAACACAACGTTTCGGCTGTGGAGCCTTCTTCAGGTGTGAGGGTATATTGTAATAGTATAGTATATTGTAAATATTGTAAAAGTACAAGAACAGCACAGAGAATACAAAGGTACAGTATGAAGCAAATTCCAAAACTTATTTTCTTATTACATGTGAAAACAACATCGACTGTATATGGCTCTGCAGATCCTGTGTCCTTAATACGCTGAAAATGTGGAACAAGATACATAAAGACGTTAATAAACTGAAGACTTAAAAAGTGAAGTGTGTGAGGGGTTCTTGTTTTGTTTATGTTGAAGGTAGTTTAGAGAAAATGTTTAAGAGAAAGACAATACCCCGTCTCCTATCACTCAACAGCTCACCAAGGTATATGAATACATACAGGTATACTGTAAATATATTACTTCTGACTTTCCTTCCCGGTTTTCTTGGATAAAGAGCCTGCTCCACCCATCCCACTACCAACACCAAAGCCACAGCTCTTCAGCTCAGCCTGTGTCACCAATGGGAACATGTCCTGTTGCCCCTCAAGCCCAACAAGGTAAAACCAAAACATTCTCTTAGATGCTCATTTAACACAAACGCATTTATTGTTTTTATCTTCTGAACTTAAAGAAAAAGCTACCATTGACTTCTGCAATGAAGAGAGTTATAAGCAAGAAAATGATGAACTTCCTAGACAAAAAAGTTTTTTAGGAGGAGTAGCTCTGTGTTTTATAGTCCTTACAACTCAATACAAAAAAAATGAAGTAATCACCCCCTCTTTTGGTGATACAGTGTAATTACATCACTTTTTCTGGAGAATTTGCCTCATTCGTTGACATCTCTTCTTGCAGCTTCACTTATCAGGACAGAACACATTTCTTTGATTTACTTCTCATTTGACCAATAAAAATGCTTCTAATCAACAAAGTTATTTGGAAGAATCGGTAAAAGAAAATCATTAAAAAATGTTTTGTTAGAAAACTGTTTATTTGTGATCTTTAATAATAATAATAATAAACTTTATTTTATATAGTGCCTTTAAAGGTGGCTTCTCAAAGCACTTTGTTCTTTCACTTTCTTAGATGATTCCTATTCAGCGCCTGTGGTCTAATGGATAAGACCATCTTCTCAGCCACAGACTGTGAGTTTCTGTCTAATTCTGGGAGAGGAGTGGTGATGTTTATATCATTTTTCCTCGAGAGTGAAATCCAGGATTGAAAAGGCATCACTCACCCCTGTTCGTGACAACAAAGATGGCGTACTCATCCATGGCCTCTGGCCTGTGCAAGCCCATTTCATAGCAGAGCTCCTCGACGACGTCAAGGGAGATCTGCGTGCAGGGGAAAGAAAAAAGAACAACAGCTGTCAAATCCTAAAAATGGCATTTTATAATAATAAACTTTAATAAACTTTATTTTATATAGAGCCTTTAAAGGTGGCTTCTCAAAGCGCTTTACAGGCTGACAACAACAATAAATAAGAAGAATACACAAGATAAAACACAATTACAATATAAAGAGGAGACCGTGGATGGTGGTGCTAAGAAAAGCAGAGGGGTGAAGAATGGAACCAATTCAGTACAGACTTTTCTGAAGAAGAGGGTGAGTCTGGATTTGAAGGAGTTTAGAGAAGGTGACTCTCTGATATCCTTGGGGAGAGAGTTCCAGAGCTTGGGGGCATAACAGGAGAAGGCCCTGTCACACACAGAGAGTAGACAGCCTTGGGGGACAGTTAGGAGACCAGAATTAGAAGAGCGAAGGTTGTGAGGTGGGGAGTAGGGTGATAGTAGTTCAGACAGGTACTGAGATGCCAAGCCATGCAGAGCCTTGTAGGTGAGCATGAGGATTTTAAAGTCTACACGGAATTTGACCGGAAGCCAGTGCAAGGACTCCAGGATAGGAGTAATGTGAACACTTTATTTTCACAGTTATTTTGTAAACTTTCTTCAATCCAAAACAAAATGCAGCCTCTGACCAGCCCAGTTATTAAGTTTCCAAAACGATCAGAGCTGCCCCTGAACCTTACCACATTTCATTCCTCCTCTGCTAATGAGTGTTGTCACACCAGCCTTTCACAATACTGTCTTTTTTCTTTACAATGTCACAGAACGCTGCACATGCGCTGCCAGAAGCGTCTGCACTTCCGTTATCTTTCACTCCGCAATGCGTCCTAGGATGGGAGACTTACTGAGCACGTTTTGATCTTCAGGTGTCGCTCGATTCCTCCAGGAAGTAGAAACAACTGCCTCTTGGAGCTTCTCCCAGCCTACGGAAGTCAAGAGCAGCGCTGATCATCACACGGAGCCACACATTCCTGGATCAAATCAAAACTTCAAACCAGCAGGCAATCTGAGTTACAAACTGAGCACCCTGTCGCCAGGTTTCTAAGATATACAGTATAAACAAGAAGCATCTGGCAAACCAAACTGTCACACTTAAGAAGGTAATACTTTTGATTTCATTGTTGGGGGTTCTTGAAGTAAAACGGACAAGGATCTTTTGTTCAAGTCTTTTCTGGTGTATGTTTTCATAAGTCATTTGGCAGAGGCAGGAAGGACATGACTTAGATATTACAGCCTTTACACACCAAAAATCATTAGTTTAGGCTTTTAACCAGGATGAAATCTTACCCCACTATGAAGCTTCTCCAAATAATTCCCTCTTTTTATTGACTGTAAGTGAATACTAGGACTCTGAACATGAATAAGCCTTAGTCCTAAGTCCTGCCAGCAGTCTGCACCTGGAACTGTGATTGAAATGCGTGTTTCCCAGAATACTGACCACCATGGCCTTAAGCTCCATGCCACTGGGAAACTGGCTCCGGCCTCCAAACTGGAACGTCTTCCTTAGGTTTTGTTCACAAGCTTTAGCAATTCCTGTCAGCACAAGCAAAATCTATGAGTGGCATCTACTTCTTTTTTTTACATTATTTATTCAAGAGAAGGCACTGTATTCCTCAACGGAGAAAGTCTAAATCACTAAATCCGTGAAAAATGCATCAATGATTTAATTATCAAAAAACAATTTCTTTCATTAACAGGAAGTGCAGGCTATATTAAAAAAAAAGGATTATAGAAATGTTGGAGAAAGGGTATATTTGATACTGTACAGGTACAACAGACTCTGTTCACTAACTCTGCAATAGAAATGAAAAGGGATTATAGAACTAAGAAACGCCGGTTCAGGCAACATGCCTTGGAAATGCAGCCCCGGGCTCCTGCAGACGTCCTGCAGGAACTTTAGCAGGTAGTGCTTCAGCACCTCCGAGCAGCGGTTGTAGGCAGTGAGAATGTACAGCAGCCTCCACCCCCTCTGGCAGCTGTCCCTGGAGAACACAAAGCAACACAGCCTCTTTCACACTGAGCCCCTTATTGTAACACCAACCGCTAAGACTAAAGACCAAAAGGCTTTGTCTCGTTTGTAGTCTTAAGTTAACAATCAGCCTATTATCAGGTCGGGTGGGTAGCTGCGTCAGCATGTGTAGGCTGCAAAGGAAAGAAAAAACAACGTTTCGGCCGTGGAGCCTTCTTCAGGTGTGAAGGCTGAAGAAGGCTCCACGACCGAAACGTTGGGTTTTCTTTCTTCTCTTTTCAGCATGGAACACACCTATTACTTGTTCCTTTGCATCATATATACAGTACTATGCTTGTATACCCTTTATACGTTATACCCTGTCCTCTCCAAATTGGATTGTTCAGGAATGACGCCCCTACAATATGCCTGTACTATAGTTCCCTCTACAATAAGCCTCTACTACAGCTCCCTCTACACTAACTCTTCACATTAGGATGCGTCATATAGCCCTCTCCCATTACACTGTCACTACAACAGTCTGGAGCTGCCAAATAAATCATTAAAGCAAGAACAAGTGATCCCTGTCAGCTTTAACTGAGAAATGTACAATGCCTGCCTTCCAAATGCCATCCCTGACATAGTTTCATCTATTTTTATTTATTGTACAACTGAAACATTCATTGGGGATAGCCTCGTGCACCTAATCTACTTTCTTACTGCTATAGTATCTCTCTTCTTCTGTCAAGTGGGCACTGGAATGGTGGTCCACAGGCCATTGACGAACCACCTATGGGTCCCAGTATAAGCAGAGCAAGATGAATGAGGTGCCCATGTACAGTACAAGAAATAGTGTTTTCCGTCACTGTAGGTGGTGCAGACAATGAGGACTGCCTTACGTTTTGGAGCTGGTGTTGGAGGTGACCTGCTTGATGACCTGGCAGTAAGCCTCATCCTTCAAAAGCCCGTACTCTCCACAGAGCTGCAAAACAGCGGCCATAGAGTTCACAGGCTGCCCCGGAACAGCAGTGGTACTGCATGGTCAAATGAATGTTGCATGGATTCTGTACACAGGAATTTAAATACTTGAAAAGAACAGCTCCAAGGATGTCAGATCAGATCACTTTATTGGCCATGTACAATTTCTTGCATTAGGAATTTGTCTTTTCGCATACCCCAGCCTGCTCTCCATGAGACACACAGACAGAGAGAGAAGCTGGGGGTCAGAGCACTGGGTCAGCCATTTATACGGCACCCCTGGAGCAGTTGGGGTTAAGGGCCTTGCTCAGGGGCCCAACGGAGTAGGATTCCTCCGGCAACCACAGGATTCGAACCGGCAACCTTCCAGCCACAGGCGCAGATCCTGAGCCACAGAGCCACAGCTCTACCGTCAATGTGATGTGATGATTTTGCTTATAGAGCAAAAATCTGGCGCAGAAGCCAGATAGGATATACCAGTCAGGCAGGGGGTCTAGTCTGTACCTTCAGAATGGTGCAGACAACATCCTGCTCGGTTTGACCTTTCAGAGGGTAATCGCCCATGAACTTCATCACAGCTACACACAAAAAGGTAAAAAACAGTCCAATGTTATTGATTTACAAAATAACAGCCATCCTCATAGTCATCCATAGTGAATTTAGCCTGAACAGTTACTGTATAAGGAACTAGGCAGATAATGTACAATTCTAAATGGTGTATGGTTTACATAGAATATTTTCTAAAGCTTGCTGTGAATTCCTGAAAACGAAACTTTCAATTAAACATTGAAATGCTCAACGATTATTGCCAACTGTACACACTCACCCAGGAAAACCTCTGCAGCAACTTTGTTCATGCCTTCGTCACTGAAGTCTATTAAAGACTCTTGAATCGGAGACTGCGTCAGGAATAAAGACAACAACGTGACAGGGCAGTCCAGTGACAAAGGCGGTGGGGGTCAAAGGTCAAAGACAATTCACCACAGAAATAGAATGGACAATCTCCTGACAAGGCCAGGCTTTAGGGAAAATAACTTTTTAAAACAGTACTGCTGAAAACATAGTTTACCACACCTCTTTCAGACATTTTACCATCTGCATTTAAACAGAAAGTGTTTTTTAATATCAAAAAGTTTCTTTTCTTATTTACAGATGTTAAATTCCTTGGTTATAGGATGGGAATTAATTGGGGGGGAATTCTTTTCACTTATTCTTCCTGTCCATGGCATTTGTGTGAGATGACTATACAGCTCTGAAGAGCTGTTCTAGTCCCACGGAGTTTGTGTTTGTAATTGTTTAGTAGCTGAGAGCACTTTTTCTATACTGTACTTTATGCAGCTTGCCATTAGATAGAGATAAACGTTTATAAGCAGTGTGTCCTGTGTATGTAATGCAATCCTTACCTTAGTGTATTTCACCATTTCAGCAGGGTCTCTGGAATCTTTGCCTTTCTTTGACTTCTGTTTGTAGGATTCTCTGGAACCCATAAACAAATTTGATTTTTTTCTCTATTATAAACTGGTTTAAAAGTGGAAGAGCCTGAGGAATGCATCCATTTGTCCTGACTGACCTCTTTTTCCTCTGGGCTTCCCTGAAGTACTTCTTGGCAAACTCGACCATGGTGTATTGACTGTCCTGCAGTATTCGCTCATCGATCTCCACAGCTGCGTATTCCCCTTGGGCCTCAGCATACTCGCTGCTGGCAGGAGACAGCTGGAGAGAGCACCCGGCACGAGGCCATTAGAGCACATAGACACGAACACACATTATACTGGCTTCTCCAGCCGACTCTCCTGGCTTCTCGGAACTCCCTCTGCTACCAATCAACTGCATCTGCATTCTGCTCTTGACCAGAACCTCAAATCACATGCCTGATGGTTGGAGGGTGTTCAAACTTTAATTCTCAGGAGCTCCGGTGTCTCGATTGACCAGATTTATTTGCTCAATTGGAAATATTTTGTTTCCAATTTTTTTTTAGATTTAAGAAAAGAACTGATACATTTAATTCATGGAACAGTAAGCACAAGGCCTAGACAAGGGTGTTCATCTTGGTCGAATGATTAAACCCATGACGAAAACGAAAGAGGGGTTGGAACAAACAACTAAAGACACCACTAACCACCCAGGAAAAGAGCTGAAACCTCCACTTTAGATGCAAACCGTGGTTCACAGCTCAGTACAGAGGTAGTTCTTAACAGCAAGTCAAAACTGCTTTCGGGTCCGATACTGGCAGGTTTCATGCAGGGATGAAGTAGGACACATATAACACATATAAGCACGTGTTCAAGGCTATATAGCGTAAGTACAGTACTTATATGTATGGAACAATTA